TTACAACCACTAAAGGCATGTTGACAGGTGGTAGATGAGGCAATATAGCAATGGGAGTTGGAATGGTAAAAGCAGCAATAGTTGTTGCAAGTTTAGGCACAGCTGCTATAGGCTTGGCCACTTTTACAAGAGGCTTAAGTGTTAATGGAATAGCAAGAGCAAGAGTTGGTGCATTCACAACTACAGTAACAAGCACTTTTAGAGAAGAGATAATTAATGCAAGCATAACTCTACTCAGTGTGTTGGAACTCCCTACTGCTAGCCTTTTTACAGGAAAGGGGTTGGCATATAAAAACCTTTTCCCATTTTGCTTTACTTGTTAGAACATTTATGAAGCTCGAAAGCATGATCCATCTTTGTAGAACAAACATACAATAATTAGAATCAGTTAGTTATGAACAAAGTCAGTAGCATAAATAAAAATTACCTTTAAAAAAGGCTCTTAGTATCTAGCATGCCTGTCCTTCAGTCTCCCCAACATCCCCTGCCAGTTCGACACCCTAACCACCCTTTGCCTTCTCAACCCCCTACACACTAACAAGGATAGCCTTACTTGACCTCTCATTAGGCACCTAGAACACACCTTCAACAAATGGATCGTCCTAATGAGCGTCAGGCTTTTTATCCTTCATAACTACCTTTTTCACTACAACAACATAACAACACAATTCACGGTGTCAATTAACTATCACAGCAACATAACAACACCATAATTCATAACAAAAATAGTATAATACATAACAAGTAAATGGATTTATGTTTTTTTGTCTTGAGTAACCCTTTTTTTTTCTCTTGGTTGCTTCTTCCTACCCACTTTTATCCTCATCTAGAACTCATTGGATGGCAGCAATGAAGGCCTAGTCTTCACTTGAGATCAAGTAGTACTTATGAATGTTCTCACTCATGGCCACCTCTTGATAGAAAATTTTGGTTTCCTTCTGGGCGTGGATTTATTTGGCTTCATCATTTCCAAGCTTTATACTCCTTCAGTCAATGTGCTAGCATAGGACCTCTTTATTTTGAAAAGAAACCTCATGCCTAGCATCTTTGTTCGTGCCATAATGTACTTATCATAGTGGGAATGATTGTTGGAAAATAACTCCACTATGCAAGATCTTCCATGTGCTTGGAGGTAATACAACAAGCCATTAATCTCCTGCAGTATGTATAATGCCAAAATAACGTATATTGGATGCACCCACTTCTATAGTTTGCAATAAATCAAGTAAGTGACTAGGATTGTCCATGTATTTGATTCCATCCATGATGTTGCAATATTGAAGGTGGTCAGCACCAAATGTAGGAAGAGATGCAGTAACAAGTAAAACCCATACCTAAAATTATGCAAGTAAAACCCTACCATTCCCTTAAAGTCTCCTATTTCTATGATAGTGAAACCTAGAGGTGGTAGGAGACCTTGTACATGGGATTGGAAGGGTTCAGTACCACACAATTTAGCATCAGCTCCACCATGACTGGCATTGCACAGGAAAGATATACATTTTGCAACCATGTCTCTGGAGCCGAGTCCTTAAGCTTTTTTACCTCAACCTTTATGCCCTTTCATTTTTCCCCTTCCTTTTGATAGCAGTTGGGGTGGTCACATCAATTAAGGGTGTCCCCACTTCTCTAATCATGATATTGTGTCCACAGTCTCCACTACTGTGCCCTGTTTGGCCCCTGCCTCTTCCTTAAGCCCTTTCTCTTTCCCCTAGCCCCCTAAGTAGCCTTTTCCCTACCCTGGCCGCCAACGTTGGTGGTCAGTGCCCTAACCCTCTCCTCATCATTAAAGCTATCAATTATGATTGTCCTTTTTGAAGCGATTCCTCTCTCAAAGACCAAAAAAGATAACATAATGTAATAAAACGTGAAGGATTTCCCTTACTAACAAATTTTTTTTGCTGAAAACTCGAAGGATAATAAAAACACAATGACACTCACAATAAGATTTCTTTAAAAGCAAGTAGTAGAAATGAGTTTGAAAATTCCTAAGTGTTTTATTTATATTCAACCAAACACCACAAGTGAAATGATGCCAATTAGGTCCATTTCAAGCATTAAATGATATCTTTGAAAAGGTATCAATTCGAATCATTTCAGTCAATCCCTAAACAATCCAAATTAATCCCTCATAAAACTTGACCCTTTGGTTACCCTTTTTCAAAACAAACACATTCATTCCCCTTTAAAAAATTGGTTCATTTTTTAAATTTAAGAACATTAATTATGTCTGACCACTCTCCAATCCTCAGGCATCATGTATTTCGAATAATCGCACCATTCAGAAACATAGCATGTACCCCATACCACCGCAATAGACACGTTCCATCCACATGCACTTAACACAGAGCATCAATTTTTTCCTCAAATTTTTCCCAATCCCCATCTATTGTTCCTAGTGTCTTGACAAACATCACCGCTTGCCAAGAGCATACCTCCGGCCTCATAAGAACACATCATCAACACAGCTAGTTAAAAGCGCGCTTTTGCCTCACAAGGACTCGTCATCAACACAGCTTGCCAAGAACGTCCCTTTTACCTCACAAAAATACATCATCAACACAACTCACTCAGAGTGTGCCCTTCACTTCACAAGGACACATCATTAACATAGCTCACCAAGATCGTGCTCCACACCTCAAAGGTAGACGAAACCAGCATCGTTTGTCAAGAATGCAATCCTTGCCTTAGAAAGACACATCATCAAAAGTAGTTCGTCAAGGCAACGTTGCCTCCCTGCCAAACACATTTCCCTAGATGATTGGTTAATGGGTCTAAGGATGGTCACTTTATAACCCTCTTTCAAACCCAAGGGCAACGTTCATTTGCAACTTTTTGTCCGCCTAACTAGCACATGTCCAACTACCACGTCACCTTGCTTGAAGAATTGGCTTGCCCATCGTGAAAGAAAGACTCACCCAACATATCCACTAACATTTTATCAAGACATCATTTTAAAACTGAATATTTAATTTCCAATTTGTCTAAGACTATTAAATGTAGCTCACGTTTGTTTGAGATCATTAAATGCAGTTTGCAATCACTTACATAAACACTCCTCAAATTTCACGTAGACTTACTTTCAATCAAAAACTGTTAATTATCTTAATTAAGTCACCACCATTCATTTTAAAAAGGAAGTTTAGGTACAAGTACATAGGACTTAAGACTTAAGTATTTTTCCTTCATTGTAGCTTCCTTCACAAATCTCACCTTTTTTCTCTCTTAACCCTAAATAAATCTCACCTTTTTTCTCTCTTAACCCTAAATACCTTTCTAACTGAAGCATCAAAGTGCGTCTCGGATAACAAACTTCAATGCTCTTTGACCGTATAGGTTCAGTCCACCTCACCTTCAAACTCTCACCAGCTCCTTCCAACTAAGACATCCAAATACCATCAACAATTACATTAGATGCTAAATTTTAACAAGCAACATCATTTAGAGAAATGAAAACTAGCCAAAACAACTCATTTTGTATTTGATGTTTTGAGATGGACAACAAAACCAAAAATGATGATTGAAAACAGTTAAATTGACTTTTTTTTTCCCAAGAGAATGAATTTGAAAACTCATCAACCCTCGGTCAAGAATAAAGAATTGAAGATAGAGTAGTATTGTTTTGACACATGAATTAATACGATGGAGCTAAAATCCTCCGGTCAACACTGTACAGCTCCTCTCTCAATCTCTCTAGTTGACTTGGTTTTGCAAGTTGCTTTGCAAACTAGTATTTGCCAAAGGAAACAGAATCAAATTCCATACTTTCCACAGAAAAAGAAATTCCCTGATGTCCCCGGAGCCATAAAATAAATAAAAACATTTTCCATATTTGGGGAAATCAATATTAATCATGATTCGAAAATGAGGCTTTTGCTTAGGTATCACTATCTGACAAGTCACAAGTGCTCGCGTGTTTTGTCACATGCACTGCAAACTCCGTGAAGTATGGGATACTTAATTTTAGGTCTCTACTTTGACAATTGCCTAATTGGTAGTATTTGGTAGTGTTCACTTTAGATTATTTTCTTTCTTTTTTTTTTTGTGGGGGGGGGTGGGGGTTCATGGGCAGACAGTATTGACCTTTGTTCATTTTCATGCTCACCGCAGTCCAGTCCAGTCTAGTGCCCATTTTTATTTCATTTGTGCCATCAACGGACTATATCTGTGAGTTTGGAGAGTTGACGTTTTTTTTAAAAGAGCGGACAGAACCGCGTAAACAATACAAGCCTGAGGTCTTATTAAGCCATTATTATCTTTTTGAGTAAACCTAATTAAGTAATCTGACTGAAAACTCTACCCCTACCATATAGTTTATCTATTAGCATGTACAAATTGGGGTAAAATATAATAAATCTTTATACTTCATTAAATTTATTATATGTTTTCAACGACGGATTTAAAATTTTTAAAAGTATTTATTTATAATATATATAAGATTATTCACAAATTTAATTAATTTTATCAACGAAAAGTGTTTAAAGTTTTTATAAGTGTTTAAAAGAAAGTTTTTGTTTCAAATTTTTTATTTTTTAAATGTTTATGAATAATCTAGTCCAAAGAGTGAATCTGCCACTGTATGTTTTTTTTATTTATTATATTCAATTAACCCTCTAATAATTTATTTATAATCAATTAAGACCTTATTAGGTTGAAAATTACTTTAACACTGTTAACTACTTCAACGAACTGAAATATAATTGCCAATGAGAAGCTGAATGACGTGGAACAAATATTACCCCCGGAAATTGTTTTAGACGTGTTAAAATTTTTTAAAAAATTATTACATATGTCGAAAATGGCCGCCTTTTTTGATACATGTCCAAAAAAATGCCACGTGACTATTAATTTCATATGCGACATGAAAATTTCTACAACCTAGTTGACAAAGGATTTTGATGATATAAAATTTTTTTAACCAACAAAGCATACGATTGATTGATAAATAAGAGATTAAAGACTCGATTAATTGTAACAAAAAAAAATCGAGACTCATGATATATTTAATAAATTAGATAAGCTTATTTTGTGTTTTGGCAACTAAGTTTCTATATATAGTATGCAAGTCATACAACCTTGGATATTTGAATTAAAAATCTTCTGCATTTACCATGTGGACAATAGTTACCATACAATTCAATCACATATTGATATAACCACCCACCATGAATCCGATATCTCCCCATATCTTGCATTACCTTCAATTTCAACATCAACAATCTCTTCTTTTTACACCCTTTTCCGAAACGACTCGGGGAATGACCTTGACAAAGAAAAGTCCTTGATTTTAATAATTAAAGCAAAGAAGCCATAGCATGGGATGTGCATCAGTCCTACTCCCAAGTACCTGTTTTAGTCCAAGATGGAAACAGAGATGGTGAGCACGTTGGCAGGAACTAGTGAGTTAACTTCAGTACTGAGACAATCACCACAAGTTGCCTACATTTAATAGCAAAACAAATAAACATACAGGCGTTGCCATCTTTCCAACACCCTCGACAGATATAAACAGCACAAGGAACTAAACGTTGCATTTACTTTAGGATAAGGTCACTACTTCTCTACAGACATATTTTAGCAACAAATTGGTAACTGCAATAACTTTTAGGATGACAAAAGCTACATCCCCCTCAAATGAAGCCTTTCAGTAATGCCCCGTTTGGGAGCTCAGGCCAGTGTGATGGGAGGGTTGGCACCCAAATTGTCACTGGAACCATGACTCCTAAGAGCATAACAATTTTAGAAACAAACTGATGCCTAACAAATCTTTCTGCAATATCAAGAACCCCAATTTCTAAATGTAAGTAAAATTCAGCCAATCAAAGAATTTCCACTTCAATTGGTTTCTTAGGATTTAAATACATAAAAGAAAAAAGCTCTAAATGTATGTATGCTTTGTACCAAAATATAACCGAAATCATATTTAATAAAAGTTCAAATATGTACCATAAGGGAGCATATGAAGATGACAAGTCAAGAAATGGATATGGCCACCTGCAAAGAGATAGGTGCCAAAATATTAGTTTAAGCCTTTCACAAAGAGAGAGAGAGGAAAAAGAGTAAAATAAAATATTTGAACTAGTAAATAAAACTGTAAAATTAAAATATAACTTTACCAAAGGTTAACACAAGCATGAATGATCCATTGGAAAACAACAAATGTGCCCGTCCATAAAACAAAATACGCAATTCGAAACAAAGGGAACCGCTGCAAGGTAGAATTAGCTTTTCAATTGATCAGAATATACTGGAAAATGGAAATGAAATACCACTGGGGCTATTTTTTTTTTTTTTTAAAAAGGAATACTTACCATGCAATTCAAAATTGTGTCACCAAAGAGGAAAACAGCATTGACTGAGTGCAGAGAGACAATCAGCTGCAGTTGAAAGTGTGGACATAAATCCCGGATAAAAGATGTCATATAAATAACAGGAGCAATTCCACTCTTCTTACTTGAAAAGCTAAACAGCAGCAGGTGAAAACACAGCAAAGACTTTCCATCTTTTATAACCCAAGTTACTTAACAGTAAAACCAACAGATTGAGACACTTTCAAAAATGTACATTTACTACATGTCATGTGATGATATTTGCTTCTAAGTGCAGGAATCTAATGACATGTAACCAAATATTTTGACAAAATTTAGAAGTTACACTCTCGGAAGGCTTCTAGACAGTCAACAAACTTTCATGGAGTTCAGTCCTCATATTGAAAACACAAATAAAGGTCACAGTAAGAGGTTTTGTGGTTTCATTGTAGGTTATCTGGCCCACTATGCGCATATGCATGCACAAGATGAAGAATGAAAGAATTAATGAATTAGAGAAGTAAAGAAGTTAACAGCACTAGCCACAAAACTTTTTGATCACCTTCCCAAGTTCACATTGCAGTATGTTGCAGATATTTAGGCACAATGGTCAACTTCAAAATTGAATGGACTGCTAAGCCAATTTGTGTTTCAAATTATTTATCAACTTAAAATAAAATAAGATAGATAAAACCTTGTCAACTTGCTCTACCTCTGTATACCCAATAAGCTTACATAAGATCTCTCCTTTTATTTTGAAACATGTTATAATTCAGCCAATAGAGTGAAGGGGCTTCATCACATGCACAGCAACAACTGTTCCAATTAAAAGAAGCAGAAAAATCTCAGGAAACTAAAGTTTCTAGCCTCATACTTACAAAATTCAGACCAAAATCTTCGGATGTTAGGAATGGAAAAAGAATAAGCCAAAATACTGAATCAGTGAGCATTACTGCACCTGCGCAAATCTATTGGGAGACACCAAGAAAAGAACAAAATATCAGGTGAATGGCAGTTAAAATGTGATCTCAATAATTAGGATATAATCACAGCAGATAGCACTAGAATCGCAGAAGAGCAATATTCAAGGAAACACAAAAATCATACAGCCAATTCACCCAGAATTTTTAAACTCTCCACGACCAGGGAAACATAATCATTAGGCCCATCACAATAACTCAATCTATACATCTAGGCTTTTGATCACACTTCTTTCACTTCACTATATAATAACTACTTGATCTTCCCTTGAACAGAGTTCACAAGACCTTCTCTTCCAGCAATTTTGGTGAGCATTCTTTCTTCAAGATATGCTGTACTAGTTAAATCCAAGATTTTGCTAAAGAAACAGAAGCACATTAAATACAATAGTTATGGCTACCAGTGGAAGACAAAAGGGAAACGAGGGTTCAGATAAGTAAAAATCTAGAAGTTGAATTTTGCACAAATGAGGAAGCTGATTAAAGGAGGAAACTTACCTGATAAATAATTTGAAAGGCATAACTCCATGCACCTGCTCTGGGAGGATGATAAGGTGCTGCATTGGCATCAAAATGTTTAGACTGGTGGGATACATCTGCAGTTTCTCCAAGAGTGGGGGGTATGTAGGTGCCTTGCTCAGAATCTAAACTTACACAATCAGCCCTATCACCAGCAACTTTTCCCCAGTGTTTTCGACATCCATATATGGACATTGCAGATCCAAACTACAATTATTATTGAGAATATCAACAAGCTATGGAAAAGGATATCCTAGTAATCTGAAACTGAGGGAGCACCATAATTCAAAAAGAACAAAGAACAAATAGAAAGGACAAAAATGGTACAAGAAACATACCCCAAAGTAGATTGTGACCAAAGTAAATGTCCACCTGTTCAGGAACAAAACAAACATGTTATAACAAAATACAAACCAAACATTTAGCAACAATAAAGATCAAAAGGAAAGCTGGTCTAGTGACAGCATCCTGATTACTTATAAATCACATTAAACTATTTTTTACTCTGACTCTTTCTTATATTTAGGAAACTTGAAACCTTAATTCAATCAAACAGTTCAAATAATTAAAAGCTGTTTCGACCTCTACAAGGAGAACTGTTTTTACAAAAATAGATAATATAGCATTATTATGCAAAGGTTGAATCCACGCTTACTGATTATATAGGGCACTATACTGTTAGCTATTTTAAGCATGCTCAAACCACAATGGCTTTTGGAACAAACCTATTCCAGAAAGAAAATTAATTAAGAGGGATCATTTTTAGAAAAATGTCATCTGGCACATCCACAATGGTAAAACTAGAATCAATGCAGAATATGTAAAGCTGGAACATTATAATGCACCATCATCATGTTGTAGAAGTGCTGCTCAAATTCATTATTCAAGTAAATATGATCATCTCCAATATAACCAAGTTTACTTTCTATTGCAATATATGTATGTATGAAGTAAAAGAATAGGAAAGCTGTAGAGATATATCACTCACTGAGTATAAAAGTAAAATATGCCACCTCCATCAATCACAACATTGGCCATAAGCAATGCCAAAAGCATGAAGAAAGCAAACACTCTAAAACTAAGCAGCCAAGCAGGGTGAATGCTTTTGAGACATGTATTCCAAGCTTCATCCTCATATAAAAGCCCTGGAGTCTCCCTGTAATTTTCTCTCTCCTGATGTTCTGATTTTTTCCGGCCTTCAAATTTCCAAATTATAATTGCTGCCAAAACCATACAGGTTAAGATGAATAGCGCACAGAGTGAGAACCTCCAGTTGAACCAGTAACTTATGGTGGCAGTATCGGCAGTCATGACGGGCTGCCAAGTATGTGTTGTGGATCCTGCTAAGAAACTCAAGAAATTACTCCTACTCGCTCCACTGGTTATCATAATTTCTTTATTAATATTCCTATGCACAATGTTTGGAGTTGGGACGACCAATGAATGTGTCTCTACCCAAATAATTCAAAAAGAGTTACTCTTAAAATCAAATAAAAATTGAAAATCAAACAGCAGAAAGAAAAGTAATAATCTTCCGCTGCCAAAAGAATAATCTTTATGAGAAGAAAAAAAAAAACAAAGAAACTCTTTTTCTTTGAAAAAAAAAATGGGTATACTATTTGATTGCTAGAACACTTCTTCCATTTAATCATAAACGGAAAACAAAAATAGAAAATTTGGAACCGGAATCCTCAAAGTCAGTCACATATATATTATATATGATCAAAATTCAGGCTAATGTTACAGAATTTTGAAGGGAACGGAGGGAAGCAAACGCAGAGGAAGGAATACTAGAAAAATAAACAACATGACTAAACATAAATTTAGAATGAAAAAAGAAAACAGAGATTCCTTACTTTAGATGGGTTGTTCCCATAAAGGTATGATCACATTAACAATGGAAGAGAGAAGGGTCGATATCTATGATAAAGAAAGATGGGTTTTAAGGAGCTTACTGTCAACGAATAAGAATGGTGAGGATTTTATTGAACAGCTGACTCCACGTTGAAAATGGAATATGCTTTGCTTCTTCTTTGTGTCGTAGTTTACCTTTGTCCTGAGGGTAGAGGGCAGGGAAGCTTATTGTCCTTGGCTCTGATTTCTTCAATTTTTAGAGGATGGCCTATGCCTTTTGTTTATTAGTTCGTTGGATGTATTTTTAAATGCATTTTTTTTATTTATTTAGAAAAGAAAATGGCATGGATTTGGTTGGAGGGATTGGGGGAAATGAAGTAATTTCTGGAAGGAAAAAAGCAATCAAGTTTTGGTTAGGGAAATTGAGGACAAAAAGTGAACAGCTGGACTTCTTGTCCACTACAAAGATCACTAAAACCCTGACACGTTACCCTACTAGCCAACTCCCAACCACAAGAGCAATACGTAGAAAATTTTACTTCTTCCAACAGAACTATTATTAGTATTTAGTAGAGGGGATCGTACATAAAAGTCCAATATAAGTTATATATGTTTTCAGCTGCTTGGTTTGATGACCGGCAAGCTTTAAGAAGAGACGTTTAATCCCAACTTTTCTTCCTCCTATTGTAAGGTTGTCTCTTTTAAAATTAAAATATATATATAAGTTATATATATAATTTGTATATTTATATTATGTCTATTTTATATTAAATATATATAATATAAAATTATTATATCATAATATTTTAATATATCAAATATAAAATATATTTTTATTTTATTAAATTTATCAATTTTAAATCATATCAATTTTTTATTTTTTATTTCATTGTCAAATCTAAAATGGATTTACCCTCTATGTTTAAGAAAAAAAAATAAAAAATAGTGATAAAGAGAAGCCAACATTTTTTTCTCATGTGGAAAAACATGATAAAATTAAATATTTAGTTTTCGACAGATATATATATATATGCTTCAGGCAATAAATTACGATTCATTAGAAATTGAAGGACCCAGTTGCACATATATATACATTTAAATCTACAGCTGTACAATAGGAAAAGCTTGAGAGCAGATGAAGAAGATGACACAGACATTTCCGTTGCTATTAAGAGACATGTATAATCATACATCCCATTCTACCCAGCTTTTTGATGGTGAAAACAAATTCAATAGATAACTACAGAAATTGGAGCTCAGCATAATGAGCTTAAAAATAGTGTAATGATCTTTCCCTTGTCCTTCATTTGGAATCCCTTCGGAGCCTTTCTGCTATCCTGTCAACAGGTAATGACCCCAGCGGGATAGACGAATCCACCTCCTCGAATGAGTCAACATCATAATCTTCATCATTAATGATGTCATCATCGCTATAATTATCATTTTCACCCCCTAAATTGGACGAACCATCTTCCAACTCTGCCATGGAACTACCAGAACCATCTTCGCTGGACAAGACTACTGCTTCACAGGAATGCTCTGTGGCCAGAGACGTGCCTTCAAATTCCTCCACCTTCTCCATAAGAGCATCGGGCCCAAGAGCAATCTCATCCAACAACAATGCCTTGTTTGACTCGATTGCACGCTTCCAGAGGGACATCATTTTTGGGCTAGATATAACCTTTTTGGCATCAGGTGTACTACTACCATCAGAAGACTTGGCTGCAATACATCAAACAAACCTCATTAAAATTCAAAAACGCATTGTTCAAAAAAATAAAAATTCAAAGATGCAACACACCATGTAACATAACAATAAAGCAAGTTATCAAGGAAACCTAATAAAGGAGGTGGCCACAAAATGCAACCACCATAGTCAATGCAATACTATTATCAATCTTCTCCACATGGTAAAACATAACTATATCTACATCAATCTCAAAATTTTGAAAAGAAGATAATTAAGGGAAAAAAAGGGAAAAGAAATTAAATTGTCAGCATTAGCAAGGACAGTAGAGAATCCACTTGCTAGGAAACTGCTGCTCTTGCCACATCTAATATGGACCATTGCAGCTTCTCCTAAATACCGGATCGTACACTTGTACTTTTCAGCTTTTACCCACATTACAAACAAGCTGCCTGGTCTTGTCCAAATTAACTTTCTACTTAACTTTAATGCCACTAGAGTTATGCCTCCCTAGCTCCTAATGGCCAACAGAAACTTCCTTGAATTTCTTGGAAATACATAAATTATAAAACAGCTTGAAATGATGGGCATTGCGATTTTTTTTTTTTTTTGCCAGAAGCATTGTAATTCTCCTTACAAACTGTAGATTTACCGTTCCATGACACTGTTTGTGATAGGCACTACATGTAAACTTACCATGTCACCTCAGCATTGTATAGAAGCCACAATCACAAAATTCCATTAGATTGTATGACAATTTATTGGACCAAACATTGAAAGTTTTGATTACCACACTGTGCAGCCTCAATTATGCTTTTGAAAGAAAAACAATAAAATGTACCCTATTACTCTCTGTAATGCATACCTGAATCATCTACACCACTTGAAATGTCAGCTTTAGCAGGAAGTAAAGCTGGTGGAGCTTCCCCGTACATGGATTTCCAATCCTGTCCCCTCCACATCAAAATTTGTTCATCATCAAAAGATAATAGAACACAAGGAACCAATTCCTGAAAAATAAGAAGAAGAAAGGTTAGAGGACAAAGAGACTAGACAATTATTAAAGCAACTCATAGAGAAACTAGTAGAATGACCAACAAAACATATTTTAACAGATATTATTCTGGATTCCTATCTTGTCAGTACATTTTGTGTTCAAGTAAGCACCAGATGCAACGGAAACATCTGTTTTTGAAGGCTCTGAAAATTGGTGTCACCTGATCTAAAGACTCTTGGACGGCTTCACTAACAGTAGCTTGGCTCATAGGCGCATATAATCAGTAAAACTCAACCAATAGAAAATAAATCTCAAGTCCTTAGTGCCTTGAATCTCAAACCTTCTAAGCAAACTTTCAGTTCAAAGGCTTTCTGCCTTAAAACAAAAGATATGTAAAATAAACTAAATTGCATCACTTAAGGAATCCCCTCAGAAGAGTCAATCAAGACATTACAAGAAGAAATTTATTCATCACTGAAATCAGACATTAAACTATTCTGCAAGGGAGGAAAAGTGTGGGGAAACTGAGCATTGTGAGAGAGCCCATCCCTCAAGTTTCTAATGAATCTCTGGATCTATACCAATTGAAAACTATATCAAGTAGCTCCTTATTCAGGCAAGTTGATAAAGAAACCACAAAATTTTATATCTAGCTCCAACCTGCATTCTTGACCAATTCAGAACCAATACAAATCGCCTTCAAAGATGATATCTTAATAATAAGCATAGAAAGAGCCCATGACAAACAAGAAATTCAACTTTTAATACTAGACTTGAATAAAGAACATAAGTAAGTTCGAATATTAGCTAAAATACTAAGAAAGCCCTTGTACTTTCCCATATTTCCTATATAAGCCTCTATCCTTCTATCGTACACAACTGAGTGCCTAAAGTATTATTTTTGCTTAATTAAAGGTGAAAACTACTAAAATTAGGTATTTTCCACCACATTAGCATCTATTTGGTCATCATCTTCGCCAAATCAGTGTACATATTGCAAAATATGAAAATTCATGCTGCGGTGGCACTTTCATGGCAAATAGCATTCGCCAACATAGCATGCCATATCAACACCTACAGTGCATTTTTTTGCCACATACATGCCATGTAGATGTTGGGCATGGCAAAGATAACTAATTTTAACAATTTCCATCCAAATAAGGACTCAATTGAACAAAAATAATACTTTAAGGGCTCAATTTGTTACAATAGATTGATAAGGGTTTAATTTTTTTACTATTTTAGCTTTAAAAAAAATTTCAAACAAGTACTAAATATAAATCTATATTTTTATTTTATAAGTCCCTCCGCTAGCATTATTATTAGATATAGTCTTTTATCACAAGCTCAAACCTCCTAGGAACCAACTTAAGATCCTTGCTATGGGACACTTTTGCATGAAACCGATGTTAAACTAGCAGTGCCAGACTAGTCATTCTTCAAATTTTGGTATTGCCTTGGTTTTTGGTTAATGAATTTGATCAAGTCCCCAACAATTTGAAACCAAGATAGGCATTAAAATCAATATAAATTATAAAGCCCCAGCAGTAGCAAAGGAATGTTACAAACCTTGAGCTTAGCACCTATCTTCTTGTAGTCACTTGCATGCATCCCTTTGCAGTCGATCTTCACCAAAGGACTTCCTTCAAAAGCATCTCTAACATCTTTGACTAGGGAAGCATACACACCATTTTTTGCTGCAACATGAACAAAGATAATTAGTACTTCTGAAACAGGCAACTGCATATTAGTAAAATCTCTCCAAAAATCAAGTAATGAAAACACTCAAGCAATGCTACCCATGAATAAGTAATGGTTGATTTACCTAGTTTACATATGGGAAGAAGAGATTTCCCTTTCTTCCGCAGCTGATCTGCTTCAACTTTAGTCAATCCTTCTGGAGCTTCTTGGATAAGTTTTGGATAGACTGGAGTAGCTGGTTTCCAAAGCATCACTGGGTACTGTGGACGAGTTCGATAGTTGTAGTTTCGACCCCGGAAAAGATAAACAACACCACCAACTCTATGAATTATTTTTCCCCCAGTTTTTTCCTGAAATTAAAAATAAACTTAAGAGAGAAGGACATAAGAGATTTGTCTATTTACCTGAGTAAGACATGTCCATTCAAAATACAAAAGCCTTAGATATTAAAAAAAAAAAAGCAAGAAAAGGTTAAATAAATATTGCACTTAAAAGCTATGGTCATATATAAACATCTCTTAACATTGAATGCCAACTTACTTCCAGCAGAACTTTGTTTGTTGAAATGGATACCAAAAGAAAACAAAAAAACAATAAACATTTCAACTGGTTACCAGAACATGTTTCTCCTTTCACAACCCAAATCAATCAAAATATCTTTTATCTACATTCACAAGGAGAGAGAGTGAGGAGTGCATCCTCTTAAATCACAGAAAAAGAGATAAATTCAACTTTCAAACCAATTCACAAGCAGTCTTACACTTTACACAACTAATATTTCTAAACAAGTATGCAAGAAATAATATCTTCATCTGAATCACAACCAAAAAGGAAATGATTTGACATTGAAGAATAAAAGACTTTTACTAACTTATTACTATTTGATAATGTTTAAACATTATCACCAAAATACCACACTAAAATTGTCCACGTAGATTATGCAAAGAGACCACCAGACATGAGACACGTGAGGAATCACAGAAGAAAATTTTCCTCCAACAACCCCAAGATGGAAAGTAGGAAAATGCGTAGTTCCCATCATTAATATCAATAGTAAGACAACAATACATATAAGGCTTAAATATAAAAATCGCCCATGTACTACACATTTTTTGTCAATTTGATATCTAAAAATGTAAAATTTTTGTTTATTTTTGTCAATTTGATACCTAAAAAAATAAAACTTTTACTTATAACCCAAACTTTCATTTCGTTAAACACTTTAGTACTCCAGACTAATACCGTTAGTTCAGGTTGTTATGTAGCATTAATACCCAATAAAATCATAATATATGGTATAAATATCAAGTCATCGCCACATCATCTTTTTTATTTTTTATTTTTAAATTTTTTTTCTGATGTGATGTGATGATAATTGAATATTTATGACAAGTGGTATGATTTTATTGATTATTCATGCCACATCAGCCACTTAACTGATGGTAACCAATGCAAGGTATCGAAGTATTTGATGGAATGAAAGATGGATACCAAAGTGAGAATTCATATTTTTAGATAACAAATTGATAAAAAGATGAACAGTAGGCATTTACATATACCTAAGTATAAACCCATAATTATCAATGGTAAGACAAAAACCAAAGATATGCAATAAAATCATGACATATGGCAAAAAATATCCAGTTATCGTGCATCATCCATTTTCCACATCATCTTTTTTATTTTTCGATTTTTATTATTAAAAAAAAAAAGAGAATTTTTTTTTTTTAAATTTTTTCTGATGCCATGTAATGATAATGAATATTTATGACAACTAGTATGATTTTATTTGGATATTCAAGCCACATCAGCCACTTAGCCGATGGTAACAATGCAAGGTATCCAAGTACTTGATGGAATGAAAGTTGAGTATAGGTACCAAACTATAGAAGATGAATACTACAGAGGCCATTTTACATATTAACCCTATGTATTAAACCCATTAATTATCAATGTAAGACAAAAAACCAAAGACAATGCTACATTGCTAACAAAAAAACAATAAGGAACATAGATTCCGCCATGAACATGAAATTCAAAGATTTAAATAAAAAAAAAAAAAAGAGGAATACCTCAATATGACGGCAAACATAATCCATGTCCACGGTGGGAACTCCTTTGCATTTAATTTTGCAAACCACGACGCCGTTGGGTCCAATGCGTGTTGGTATCAAATCCAACATATTATGCGTCAATCCATCCCGCCCTAAGAGCACAAAATCCTAATTAATTAAATATTAATCCCCAAATCAGAACAACAAATCTAAAATTAAAAACTCACCGAGATTAACCTGACGATTATCAGATAATAGAGGTTTAACAAGCATCTTAATCTCCCATTTCTTCAACGGCTCCCCCAATATTTCCTCTCTCGTTTTCCCTTCCCTTGGGTATTTCCCAAAGGGAAACGGCCCTGGCATTTCCACGTATTTCACGCCTTTTTTATCGGGGGGCGGAGGGTTAAACGAATCGAAAAGTGGAATCTTCTTCTTTGACTTTTTCAACGGAGCCTTCCCTGTCCAGGGCCTCGGCATCGTTGGCGGCGCGAACGGCAAAAAAGCTGGCTCTCGAATAGCTATGGGCTCGGCCTTGGGCGTCTCGGAGTAACTGAACTGGAATTCAAAAGGAGCGCCGGGGAGCTGATAGGATAAGCCATTTTCGCCGATGACGACGCATCGATCACCGTCTGATGAGATGACTCCCTTTTTGACAGGCTTGCGGTAGTTGGAGCGGCGGTGATGGAGGGAAAGGGCGGGGTTGGAAGGGGGAAGATTAGGTTGGGGGTTTCGTCTGTGAGGGGGAGGGTATTTGGGAATGGGGATGGGAGGGGAGGGGGGAGGAGTGGTTGAAGTGGCGTCGTTTGGGGGTGGGTTTGATGGAAGGGAGGAGAAGAGGTTGAGGCCTGGGAGTGAGGCCAGAATTGGCATTGAAAAAAAATGTAGAATTTGGATTGGTTTGTTTCAATTTCCTATTCAAGAAAGTGGAGTGGATAATTGATAATTCCTTCCACTTCTTCGGTTTCAGAATTGAGGAAGGAAGGTGACTGAGAGTGAACGCGCCAGGAGATAGATTGTATGATATTTTTCTTCGAACCTAGTAAACGACTGTGCTTTACGTGGCGATTTAAGTCAGCGCCGTGTTTTTTTTTTTTTTTTGCGAAAATTTTTACTAATATACAATTTCATAAATCAATATCTACGCCAGTATAATAAAGTTATCCCAAAAATATGAGATTTATCAAATTCAAAGACACTTAAGTTAAAACATAAAAAATATTAGAGGGTTAATTAAGATAATATATTAAAGTTAATTAAACAAATCAATTTTTATTTTGTTTTTTCTTTTTTATTTTATTTTTGTTATATTTATTTTTTATTTTTATGTTTTGATTTGCTTGTTTATTTGTTTATTTTTTATTTACATACATACTTAAAATTTTTTATTAAGAATATGTTTTAATCATTTGACAACATTAAAAAAATATATATATGTGTTCGACAAATAAATTAGTAAATTTTTTAATAATTGGAGATAATTTTAATATATAAGTATATATTATATTATTTATTTGTATCATATAAATTTAAAAAACATAAATAAATGAAATTTTTTAATGATGAAATTAAAAAAAAATTGTAAGTGATGCTTGAAATTCATAGGTGATGAATTGTCTTAATTCTTTCCACAAAGTGTTTGAAAGCTTTTGGAATTTTTTTTAATATTTTGTTTTTAATAAAATATTTTGTAAAAATAAAGGTTGATAAAATAAAATTAATTTTTTTATAAAATTTCAAATTAATCTGATAACAGACCTTTTTCAAAAAAATGAATAAATTTTTTGAATACTTTTGAAATGAAAAAATTTTCTTAAAGTTCTATCAAAATATTAGAAAAAATCTTTAAACTTTTCAATATTTTAAATAATAAAATTTAATTAAACCATTTAGATAAAATCTTTTTAAGATAATATAAGATTAATTAGTATCATTTTTAGATAGAGTTGTGAAGGAATTATTATTTCTTTTGCACATGAACTAATTAATAACATATTATAAAAGTTATCCCAAGTGAGGATAACTTTAAATTGAAGTTTAATTCAAATTTGAGCTACTAAATTACTTTTTATTTGATAAATAACTATTGATTGATAAAAAAATTTTAATAAGCTATTGGATTTGAGTTTTTATAAATTTTGAGTTTTTATCATTTATTATTTATAATAAAAAAATAATAAAAGTACAATAACAATGATAAATATAAATACAAAATTATATAAAAACAAAAAAATAAAAATTAAGTTACTTTTCTTTTTTTTCTTTCTTTTGTTTTAAATATTTTTATAAAAAAAATTTATAATATGAAAAGTACAATAATCATAATTAATAAAACACAATAATCATAATATAATATAAAAATAAAAAAAATAATCGCCACATATCAATACTATATTTATTTTTAATTTTAATATTTTTATTTTATTTATTATTTTTATATTAAAATAATTAGTCTACCACTTTGTTGGGTGACTGATTCTAGTACATTTTATAACAAAATCTAATTGGTTGAAAAAATATATATAAACGGTTGGCGATGGTGATTTTGTTATTTTCTAGGCATTGGCCCCCGGTAAGTCAGAGTCGGCTGTTATTCCTCAATTCTTTTTGTTTTTTTATATATTTATAATTATTTTTAATAAAAATAAAAAATTAGTTCACACATGAAATATTATAAATATTATTTTGTAATATTTAATATATTATAATTATGTTTTTATTTTACTGTTTGTGATTCTTTTTATCTTTGTTTTACACGGCTAATTTTTATTTTTTTTATAAAAGTACTTAAATCATTTGATTTTTTTTATAAAAGTATTTAAATAATATATATATGTAAATATCTATAATATATAAAACATAAAATAACTTTTTACATTTTGTAAATTTTCTTTTGAAAAACAATCTATTCCCATTATATTTTATTGGAATAAAAATTAAAAATAAAAAGCAAACAAAATTTTAAAAAACATAAGAAATAAACAAAAATAAAATAAAATAAAATAAGATCACGTTAAAAAGAAAAATTTGAGAACGTTAAGAAACTTCATGTCTGATTATGACAATATTATGTAACCTCGAAAAATGAAAAAGAAACAGTAATAGAATAAAATCGTCATTCTCTTTTATCACAATAGAGAAAGTGTGAAGTTTTTAAAATGTGCTGGTGTGTTTTGCAAATGAACTAAAGTAATTTTATAGTTGAAGTGAAATAGAATGAACAATTGAAATAAAGCTGACAAACGGTTCAAATTAATTTAAAATTTCAAAAATTTATCAAGAAATAAAGCTGAGAATTATAAAAAAAAAAAATGAAGATAACGATCAAATAAATGCAAAAATAATTAGATAATAAGGAAATTAAAACACATGAGTGTCGATAGACAATCCACCTTGGACCAAAGAACTCATCATTCAACAGGGGGAGTGTAGATTGATCCATTTGAGCCATGTTTGATCGACATATACCATTGCTAATCGACAATGTGTGCCAGGTTTGTTGTTTGCAAGGCTATGAAAACAAACAAACTAATGCTTAAAGATGTCTTGAACTCTTTTTGTAGTCTTCACTTTTGTACCTTGGGATGAAATAAAGATGGAGTCATCCAAGTAATATAGAAATAGCTTCAAGACATATTGCAAATAAAATTATTTTTTAAAAACATTTATTTTGTCCTTATCAATAATCATATGCAAAAAAGATATGTCAAAATACTTTCAAGATACAATAAAGTCTTATCTAATTCACACTACACTAATGAGTTCAAAACATTAAAAACTCTTCAACGAGAGAAAAAAATATCTTATTTTTAACAAGGTTTTCTAAAGCAAAACAATGCCAAAATGACCAACAAGGTCAATAGATTTTAAAGATTTCAAAATTTTGTTTTAAATAGCTTGACTTTAAGAGACTGAAAGGAATCACAAATTTTTAAACTTGATGATAAAGAATACTTCTTTGAAGAGATAAACAATCTCTTGATATTTATGATTTTCTAAAAAGGGACCAACCTGTTTTTCCTTCTCTTTTGAAAATTAGAAAAATTCTTTTACATGAAAAGACTAAATAGGTCTTACCAAGTGATATCTTTAATACGATTAAATATTCAATTAGGTAGTGATACTTCATGAAGTAGCTATTTTACTTCATCTCTAGCTTCATAGCTAACTTCACTATTTTGATCAGCTAATTCAATTCTTTCATAAAATTCATTTCTAACAAACTTGTAAGATTTTTTAACAAGTCTAGTGAAGTAGTAATTTGATTTAGAAAAGTTCCTTTTTGAGCTATTTCAACTTCTGAATTTTTCCATTTTTTTAAGAACTACAAAACATCTCCTTGAAATGTTCCACAAAAATAATTTAAAAATTTTTCTTTAGACCATTTATCTTTGTAGTTTACTACAATAGTCATAGATTACACCTAATCTTCTATAGGTTTTTTGTAGTCATTAATAAAGACTTTTTTGAAAAGTCTAAATAAGTGTTTTCTTGAGCTTCCTTTCTTTTGTTTAAAGATTTTATAAAACTATATTATAATATAGGTTCTATAATAGTTCCAGAAGATATTCTAGTTTGTTTTATTTCATTTTTATAAATATCATCTTTAATTCTATTTTTAACCTACTTTGATAATTTGTTTATTGATTAGAAATTTTTCCTACTTTTTTCCCTTTATCAATTTTTACTGATCTAAATCCATAGGTGTGGGTTTAGTATCTATTTCTTTATCTACCTTTTTCAAAGGATGAAAATTTTATACTACTAGTTTTTTGTTTTTCTTTTATTACTAGGTTAATAGCTAAGATTTTAGCTTTATCATTATCTTTTTCGTCTATATTACTTTCATCTATAGCATCATAATTAAATATATAGTGATAATTAAATTTTTTTAAAAAGTTCTTTATAAATTTCATAAAGTTTTTCTACCATATTTAAATAATCAATCCTTTCTATGGGAATGGCTATCTTTTCTATTTTATATTTAAAATATTTTATAAGACTTTTATAATATTTAAAATTTAGCTTTTTTGGTTTAGAAAATTGAGGTAATTGAGATGATGATGATGGTTTATCATCATTAAGTATAAGAATAGCATTTTCATAATATAATAGTCCAAAGTCGTTTGTTTTACTATTATCGACATCCAAATATTCTAATTTTTGGTTAATAGATAGTAATAACTATTTAGATTCTTGGTTTAAATCTAAATTAGTAATTTGTCCTAAACTATCTATTTTTTATTCTAATATGTCTACCCTATTAAATAATTTTTTAAAGAAAGAAGTTGATAAATATACTAAACCATTTAGACTATGATTAATTGTAGGTATATAGTTTTCTAATCTAGGTTCAATATGCAAACTATGATTATGAAGTTTTTTCAAACAAACATAGTTTTCTATTTCTTGTTCTATGTTTTAGGTACCTAAAACCGTTTGATTACTATGAAAATATCTGTTAAAACTATGTTAAATGACTACCTGATAGCCAATATATTAGCACAAAGACAATAAATTGATACATAGATTTTAGAATATAAAATCAAGTAAATAAAAAATTAAGTAAAAAAATATTCACAAAGATAGTCATACAAAGAAAACTCCAACTAAAATATATATATCTGCACTTACTATATATTTTACAACTTAAAACTCTTATACCAATTACAAAGAGAGTAAAAAAAGATAAAGAGATAGTTTTACAATAAAGTTTAAAGAGTATTGAAAAAGAAAATTGCTATAAAAATTGATGCCTCCTACAATAAGAAACATTCCTATTTATACAAAAATTTAACACTCTAATTTAGTTTACAAAATTATCAATAACTCTTGTTGAGTTTATTGTTAGAATTTTATCTTCTAAATTAGAAGCCTCTTCTATTAGTTTTTGAAGCTTATCTAATAAGAATCTCCTTTTGGTTGTCATGACTTTGACAGTTGAAAAAAATCCCCTTTTAAGCATGCTATCTTTGGTAGACTGTTATGATTTTGACTTCATGGTAGCTATCCTTCATGGTAGATTAAAAAAATGTAAAAAGGTAGTCCCCAACTTATTCCATTGTTCTTATCTTTTTTTATACTGGATTAAAAAAGAGACTGGGCAGTCAATATCTTCCATTCTAGATAGTTTATCCAAAAGTTTAATTGTTTTAGGTTCCAAGGTTTTGGACAATATCCAGTATAGTGTCTTGTAACAAAAATCCTTCTACCATCTATTTTAGCAGTGATATTAGGACTTGTTGAATAAGGATTTGAAGACTAAGGGATTTCATTTAATAGTTCCTTAACTTTTGTTATCATGGATAGTCTTACTTAAAAACTATATATATTTGTGTTGTTGAATTGTTCAATAGCAAATATTAAATTTTCTTACTTTTCATTTACAGGGGACAAATAAAATACTTTTTTTTAACTTCCTAGATTTGATATGGTTGAAAAATCTTTCTCTATGAAAGAGTCCGGATAAATTGGTTAACGCAATATGTATATAATGAAAATATTTATCATTTTTTACAAAATAAAAAATTTTGGATTTTATAAAAGCATGAAACTGCCTTATCAAATGAAAAGATAAATTTTGAAAAGTAATAATACAGGCAAAACCCATTTTGATAATTATTATATCATAAAGGTCATGATAAAGTCTAAATTTGATTTTTGGGAATGCTTTTGAAATACCATTATTTTCTAAATAAATGGAATGAAAGTATTCATGGAACTTTTCATGAAATAGCTGTTCTTCTTCATCCCTAATTGAATATTTAATCTTATTAAAAATATCACTTGGTAAAACCTTTTTAGTCTTTTTATATAAAAGAAAATTTCCAATTTTCAAAAGAGAAAGAGAAACTACTTGTTCCTCTTTTTAAAAATCACAAATATCTAAAAGATTGTTAATCTCTTCAAGGGAGTATTCTTTATCATTAAATTGAAAATTTTGTGGTTCCTCCCAATCACTTAAAGCCAAGCTATTTAAAACAAGATTTTGAAATCTTTGACATCTGTTGACCTTATTGGTCAATCTTTTAGCAAGTTTTGTCATATTTTTTTTGAAAAGTTGTTTTACTACCTTGAAGTTGAGATTTTCAAACTTTATTTATGAGATTATATATCTCATAAGGTAATCCTAGGTTATAAAAGTCTTTAATTACTTGGGGAAAATTTTATTATGGTTTTAATAAATTTTTCAGTTTTTGAAAAACCTCAATGTATGACATAGGAGTCCATTGGTTTGGATCCTAAGAAAATGAAATAAACTGATAGGGTTCAATTACTTGTTATAAAAGAATCTATAGCATTTTCATATATAGTTAGGTGGAAAAAATATCTCGAGTTGGGATATGGTTCTAAAGGTTGGAATGGACATTGAAATCATAATCTGTGGTTAGGATAAACAAGTTGATTAGAAGAACCTTGTTTGGGTTGTTTCTTCTTTATTCTAGTCTATTCTCCACTTTGCTTAAGAGGTTTTTTACCTTTATCCATGGAGCTTGCTTAAAAAATCAATAAGAACATTGTTAGTTCCTTTGATATAATCAATAGAAAAATTATATTGACATAAAAAATTATACCATCTAATTCTTCTAGGATTATTTTCTAATTTTTTATTTTTAAAAGGTCTTTTATAGCCCGAACCCATGGTTTAAACTTTGAAAAAATAGAGAGCTTATATATTTATTCTTTTTTTTTAGTGATTGTAGTTTTTCTAACTTATCATATAAATATTACGCTCTTGTTCTAAAATATCACTTAATTTTGTCATTTCTTGTTCTTCAACAGATATCTCAATAGTTTTAGAACCAATTTGATTATTAGTTTTGGAAATATTACTAGAGCTCATCTTAAAAATATACTCATCTTTTTTTAAATATGAATCTGTTTCAAAGATTAATTCATAAATAATTTCATCTTCTGAAATTTCTTCTCCAATGCAAACTTTTAAATCTTGCTCTTTGAGAGTGTTGATAACTTGTTTAGCACTCTTTCCTTTGTTAAGACATTTAGATTTTGTATGGCATTCTTCATCACAAATGAAACATTTACATTTGAATTTTTTTTAGAAGTTTTTCTCCTGACAAATATTTTCTTTTAGTCAAACTTATGCTTTTTTAGTTTCTAAGTGACTAATTTATATAATCTATTCTTCTATATTTCTTAGAATAGGTTTTAGACTGAGATTTATAGCCAAATTCCCCTTCATTAAGTAATATTTTTATATATTGTCTATTATTTAATTGACTTTTGACTTGCTTAGCAATCTTTTGTTTTAAGGTAATGCTTTATAACTTATTTTGAAGTAAAATAAACTCTATTTCCTGTAGAGTCTAAATAGTCTCTATTTTTTATTGTAGGATTATAATATTCTAAATATCTTGAATACTACTGATTACAGATTTCATCCTAAGGAGAAGGTAATTTATGAAAATATTGTTCTTTTCAAAATTTTGAATGTGTTTCATCCAATTTTTTATATTCATGAATATATTTTTTTAGAAAATTCTTCTAATTGTCTTAAATCACATAGTTTTATCTTTGTTAATATATAATTAGCTTCATTGTTTTGATTAGTTGGTTCAATTCTTTTCACAAAATTCATTTTTTTACAAATCTTTCTTTAAAAAGTCTTTAATTGATTTAACTTTTACCTGTTTGGATTTAGGGCAAAAAATAAAATCACATATGTGCTTATGAGTTTTAAGTAATAAAATTTCTACCGATTCTTTATCTCTAGTAAATATTATATTGTTAGGGTTTAAACAAAAAGATAAGTATATATATAATTATTTCCTAATAACATATTTTCATGCATAGAAGGAAAACATAAAATTTTTAGAATTATAAAATTTTTGTTCATAAGGTAAGTTGATACTTTTTTTGTATAACCTATTATGGTTTTTTTTATGATCTATTTCTATTATTGCTATTAGATGTTCCATCGGTTCCTATTTTTTTAATGGTAATGCATTACTTTTACAACTACATATAATGGCTCATGTATCTATTAAAACATTTAAAATACATGGTTTATAATTTTTAAATTTAAAATTTTTTTGAATATATTATAATGACTTTTTAGCTGATTATGGGAAAACATAATCATTTTATCATCTTGAGTTTTATATTGGGTTATTTATTGCATCCAAATTTTCTCCTTACAATTCTGTTGCCTCACCGTATATATACCCATTAGCATTGGCATCCAAGTCTATCTCTCATTTGGTTCCCACATCTAGTCCATTGCCAAATATAATGTTTTCTCATGTTGAGGCTGCATCAATGAGTAAGTCACTCCAAATCTTTTTTTCCTTTTTCTTTTCAGCCATACAAACGCTTTTGTCTCCACTTTTTTTCTCTTTTTTTTTCCACCTCTGTTGCTTCTGCCTAATTCTTTTTTTTTTTTTCACCTCACCAACCTCTGTTAGTGGGTATTGATGGTTGCGGAATAAAAAAACCCAATCAAACTTCTGTCTTTTCATTCCTGCCGATTCCACTCTTCCCTTTTTTTGGTGATTTTTGCTATTGGTTTGTGCTTGATGTTATATATTATTACTTTTGATTAATAAGATATGTGAAGTTGAAAATTGAGTTTGTTATTGAATTGTCTTTTCGTATTAGAAGTTTAATTTCAAAATTACCCCCTTAAATTATTTTTAAGATAAATATGAACTATTCAATATGAGGAAGAAGATAATTTTAATTGTAAAGTATAGATCTCAATGATTAAAATTTGAAACTTTAACTTAAAGGTCTCAAATCTAAACATTAATCAACGAAATAAATCCTAATATTAAGAAGAGAGATACAAAATGGGAATTATCTCTAATTTTATATCATAAATTAACATGCCTATATATAAATTAAAAAAATATATTTATTTGTATAATTTAAGCCATGAGCTTCTTCACGTATATAAAAAAAATATAAATAAAAGAAATGAATTAATAAATATAGGGGGGTATAATTAGAGTATTGAACAATATTGATATTAAAATAAATAATGATAAGGAAAATAATCTAGCCATATTTTCATGCATTTACCTTTTTATGTTTGTTGTCTTTTTAATATAACGAAAAGGCAATAGGAGAAAAGCTACACATTCATATCATCAATCCAATTTTTTTTAGAAGGAAAAATTTTGTTTATAGAAAAAATTAGAAGTTTTGTGTCTCCAAAACACCCAATCACTCCCTGTGGGCCCCATCACAACTACATCGTACGGATTCCACGTCCTCAACAGCATAATTACCCATGAACCCGCACAACCGTTGCTACATGAAAGCTAACCCTAACTATAAATGCCATATAAATCCCCCCACTTCTTTCATTTACCAAGTCCTCCTTCTTCCTGGCCGCGCCAAAGCAAAACCAGCAGCAACCATGCAGATCTTCGTGAAAACCCTAACAGGGAAGACCATAACATTGGAGGTTGAGTCGTCCGACACCATCGATAATGTCAAGGCCAAGATCCAAGACAAGGAAGGCATCCCACCGGACCAGCAACGCCTAATCTTCGCCGGGAAGCAGCTCGAAGACGGTCGAACACTAGCGGACTACAACATCCAGAAGGAGTCCACCCTCCACTTGGTCCTCCGCCTCCGAGGTGGTGCCAAGAAAAGAAAGAAGAAGACTTACACGAAGCCCAAGAAGATCAAGCACAAGAAGAAGAAGGTGAAGCTCGCTGTGCTCCAGTTTTATAAGGTGGATGATTCTGGAAAAGTCCAGAGGTTGAGGAAAGAGTGCCCTAATGCAGAGTGTGGAGCTGGCACTTTTATGGCTAATCATTTCGATAGGCATTATTGTGGGAAGTGTGGCTTGACTTATGTCTACCAGAAGGCTGGTGGTGATTAGCTTGGTTTTTTCCTTGGATTTTTATGGTATTGTTATGAGTTTTTAAATTGGCTGTTTTGGTTTTAATTTTAATCCTACTTTTTATTTAATTTAGCACTTTTGAAGTGGATGGTAATTTTTGGAATTTTAACTAATGTGGTTCCTTCATTCCTTTTCTTTGATTGTTGTTCTAATTCGTTGTATTTGGTATGGTGATTGTAATGATTCTTTGGTTAGTACGTATAAGTTTGACTTATATTTGATACTATATAGAAATCACTTTAGATAATAATGATGTTTTATAATCCAATAGTATTTTAAGGATTGTGAATTACAGCAGATAAATCAAGTAGCCTGCTATTTGCATTTCTCTTTGTTGTTTAAAAAAAAAAAAATCAAAGAATACTAGTCCAATATTTCTGCTCCCAGAAATGAGTTTGTCATGCATAAACATTCACACTTGGATATTGCCATGAGCTGAAGTTAGTTACTTTTGAAACAAATGAAATCTTAGTGTTGCTTATTTGTTAGTCAGGACCTGCTGTGATTCTTTGTTTGTCATTTTAAACTATGACTGGAAGACCATTGCCTGGCCAATTAAAGGAATCATAGTCATATTTATCCAGACTGAATTTTTTTTATCTTAGTACCTTCACAAATCACATCCATGTTATTACATAGAGATTATTGGTAGAATATGAATGTTTGTTCCCGTGCATAGTTTTCCTTTAATCTTAGCCTGGTCATAATGTTTGATTTCTTTAATCTGATCGAGCAGTGATGTTTTTGTCTTAATGTTTGGTTGCATGTATATTTGTATCATTCATGTTTGAGGGACTGCCTGTGGGCAATGGTTTGTGGATCATGTTGCTGTGGGGTTTCAAGTAATGTCTACCTCTAAATATAATAATGATTTACTATGTATACATTGTGTCAAACTAGTCATAGAACAGGTTCTGTAGCTTGTAAGAGTTAGCTGTTCTGTCACAGATACAAAATGTTCCCAATTTTAGAAAATCACTTTCAAAAGTGATTGGCGCTAGTGTTCTATCATACCCTTTTTTGTGAAACTGGACTCATGGTGATAATATGATGCTATCACTTTATGAAAGAAACAATAAATTTATGGCTTGTGGTATGCTTCTGAGTTGCTGATGTATTTTTCCATTTATTAAGCCTTCTTTCCGTTTACAAGCAAAGTTATCTTTCTTTTTGTTGAATGATTAATGGAGCTATTTTCAAGTTTGTCTGAGTTTGCTGCACGAAACAACATAGTTCAATGTTGGTGCAGTCTCACTTCATCGGACAACTTAGTTCAACATCATCAACTTCGTTCAGTGTTGTTGCGAATGCATGTACTGCACCGAATAACTTAGTTCAATGTTGGTGCATGTTTGGTATCGCGAGAACTGGATTCAGATCTTCCTTATCTAATTAAATCAAGGGAAAAAGGATTCCTGTCAGAATTGTATAATTATCTTGTGGTTTTTGTGATCCAAGTTAATTTCCCAAAGGGGATTTAATACCTTTTGACATCCTGCTTTGCAGCCAATTAGCTAGTTATTGCCCACTTCCGTCCTGGTTCTTATTGTTACCATTTTGAATGAAATGCCAGTGCGATTGGTGCTTAACCTAAGGTCCATCCCAACTCTACCATCTATAATTATACAATTAGAAGCAGTACCCACTCTCGTGCTGAATATTACAGTTAGGGCATGTAAGCGTCTTTGATATCATCCTCCCTCTAGTGATGGAGAGCATTGGAATGATGTTGCGTGCTTGCGGTGCCTTTCACCTGTGATGAAAAGAAAAACGGAATGTCAGTGAAACCTTTCTTTAGATAATGGTCAGCGATCGGTCATGGTCTCTGGAGTCTAGAGAACTGGTTTTGCAGAAAATTTTCTTGTGATTATAGGTTCAGTGACAAAACGTGGAATTGATTTAGCCACGCATTAATGGTGCGATATTTTTTTTCTTGAGCAACGGAGTGGGTTTTTTTTTTTTTTTTTTGAATAAAGGAGTTTAAGAGTAGTTGTATAAACTAATTGATTGCCTATATTTTTAAATGAAGTAACATATCTCCTTAGCAAGGCACAAATATATAGCACAATACATGTCTAATCAAAGCTCCTAAAGGTAAGTCAACACCAACAGTTGTCTGTGATCTTAAGTTTTAGGTTTTTAATTTCAGTAATCATATTAATTTCTTACAATTTCAAATATACGTATATATATATATATATATATATATATAAATTATCAGTTCCCAGGGCAATGTCTTTACTTGGACAATTCCCAGGTGAAAAAGGAAAATGTACAGGTGAATGAGAAAACCAACCTGATCGTTCCATTTATTTATGTATCCAACAAAAAATTCCTTGATGCTAAGCTCGTTGATTCCTACCAAGCCATCACTGCTAATTTCTTATCGTCATAAATTTGGATGTTTATCCTAACTGGTCCTTCAAGACAAGTTCATGGTAAGAATTGGTCCCTCAGTGAGTCAATGTGAGTTTACCATATTTCACAGCCATTGCTTTAGTTGATCATTCACTGTTTTGTTAATGTAACTGTCTCCATGATAAAACCATCAAATATATATAGGCTGTACTGACATTTCTATATTTGAACCATGGTTGTGGGGACGTCACGTGCGAGCACATGGGGTACTGAGACAGTCAACAACAGAGAGTGAAGTGAAAGGAAGGAGATGGGCAAGTAAATGTTAGCATTAAGGATGATGTTAGTGCTACCTGCAAAATAAAGGGTTTCCATGTAACAGGAACAAAGACAGCAGGGAAAGTTGAAGTGAGGCACTGCTCTTTGTCAATCAAACTTACCCTCTTTGAGGAAAGACAAATCCTAAGATGCCTATTTTCCTTCTCCATACACTTTTCTAGAAACTTCCCCTCCCTCCAAAATGGTAAAACTCTCAGCGCTTTCACTTTCTTGGGAAGGAATTGAGGGCTTAAAGAGACAGAAGAGTAAATAATAGAGAAAACAACACATGAAACCAATAGGCACTAAGTCCCTTTACAAACTGGCTATAGAACTTTGAACCTTATGGCAAACATCAACACCAAACAAGTTGAAGTTTGCTATAGTTTTTAGCAATTTAATTAAAACAGTGTGACTCACAACGTTGACAAGCTAGGCAGGATTACTTTTGTCAGAATATGAATTGGCAAGAAAGTGATTTTTCTTCAACTTTTTCTTTTCCTTTTCTTTTAAATCTAAGAAGAGATGAGAACTGGGAGAACAGGGTTTGAAAAAAAAAGTGCTAATAGTTTTTTTTATAAAAAGACTGTAATTAGAGATAAAAAAAGAATTATAGATGATGAATTTCGAATTTGCCAAATGTCATATTTGACTATATAAACCAATTAAATTAATTTCTTAATTAGAAAATGCTAATAGTTCGATATAGAAAATTGTGTTGCCATATATATCCTTGATATATCATTTATTGTTCCATGAATGGAAGTACTTATTTTTTGGTTAAAAACAATAATGAAAGCACAGTGTTTAAGGAATTATAAGTATAAGATACCAATAATAAGAGAAAGGTAATCATTGTAATTAGCGTCTTCTACAATCTATAAATTAATCCCACCTCCCTTGGATCAGAAACCCACATCATCCTCATTGTAATCATATCCAAAACCACCTTCTCTCTCTCCCTCACTTTCTCACACACACAAACTCTCAGAAACAGACAAATCAACAGAAAAAAAATATGTCAACAATGAATCATCTCTTTGATCTCCCTGAGCAAATTTGCTATGTTCAATGTGGTTTCTGCACTACAATTTTACTGGTAACACCATTGTATATAATTGTAATTTTCCCACAATATATATATGTTAAAGTCTCAGCACTCTGCTCATAATTAGCTTTCAAAAGTGCAGGTAAGTGTGCCATGTAGCAGCTTGTCGATGGTGGTGACAGTGAGATGTGGGCACTGCACAAGCCTTCTCTCAGTCAATATGATGAAAGCCTCATTTGTCCCACTCCAGCTCCTAGCTTCCCTTGGTCATGATGATGAGGTATAAGTATATGCTTTGCAGATTTTTTGGCAATTAGGTCATATTAGTTTGTCAACAAATTAATCCAATACCATTATTAATTATAGATGATTATCAATACCATTAACATTTTATATGTGCTTCTCTCAAGCAGCCAAAAGAGGGAGCATTTTCCGAAGAAATGGCTGCCCCTAGGAAGACCTCAGACAGGCGCAGCCCATCCTTGATGACCTCTTCCGATAATGAAGAAGAAGATACAGTCCGTGTGAATCCCACAGTCAACAAGCGTGCGTTCCCTTTTAACTTTGATTTATAGCTGGAACTGGAGTAACATAAAGCAGAACTTATCATTCTAATACTAGTTTAGTCACATTTTACAGCCCCAGAGAAGAGGCAAAGAGCTCCATCAGCTTATAATCGCTTCATCAAGTAATAAGAATCCATCTCTGTTTATACAAACAAAGATTTCTTTGTCTTAGGACAATTATCATATACATAGATTCATTCTTGGTGGCAGAGAAGAGATCAGGAGACTTAAAGCTCAAAATCCCAACATTCGACACAAAGAAGCTTTCAGCACTGCAGCAAAAAATGTAAGTTTTAGAACCAAAACGGTTCAACAAAACAAACCAATCCTTTCCTGTACATGTTTGTTATCTACTGTATATATATAGATATGTATGTATGTATGTATAAAAGAAGAGACCAATTTACATGATGTAAAACAAAAAAAAAATTACATATTTTTTAAGTATTCATTTCAATAAATATAAAGACGAGAGAAACAAATAAAATCTTTAAAAAATATTTAATCTTATCCTTGGATATATTAAAATAAAACTTTTTTTAATTTTACACGGTACAAGGTGCATAGGGATGTCATTTCCTAAGCATGTCTTAATATTTCAGTGGGCCCACTTTCCTCCCATGCACAACAAAGGAGACGGGGAGAGCTGTGGCCAGAATGAGGGTGAGGCGTTATGGAACTCAGATGCTACTGATCAATTGGTAATTAGCTTCTTCTGTCTCTGATGCCTGTATGTTCCTACTAAAGATTTCTGATAATTTTATCAAACAGAAACTAGTATATTACTTCAAGCACATTCGGCGTCAACTATATGGTGGAGCCATAGAGACTATAATCAATTTCATTAGGAATAAATAACTTGCTATGAATTTATTGAAACCCCATGTAATTGAACTAGGAGAAGTACTTGTGAACATAAGCATATGACAAGTTTGACACACGCAATTCCTTATGTTATAGAACTTTATGAGATCGTTCATTCATGGTGCATGCATGCATTTGTCTGTGAACTGATCACTGCGTAGTGGTACTGGATATATAATTAGATTTCATCATGAGTCATGACCATTGACAATCAGCTTTACTCAAAATTATCTGATCATTCAAACCATTTATTTGAAAATATCTAAGGTCATGGCACTATAGAATAAGTATCATCATTAATTACACTCTGTTAATTAGTAAATATTTGTGGATGTGTATTTGTACTTCAGTACATATGCATGCATCAATCCACTCTTGCATATGGCCTTTGCAGCCTTTGCATGCTTATCATTCTTCCACGCTGCAGCCAGCATAGGTACCTTAGGCTTCTCATTCTGAGGGAGAAAATAATTAACTAGCTTAGCTACAAGCTATTGTACTATTATAAACAGTTCATTACTCAAAGGCTCCCCATTTCTAGCTAAGGAGATAAAATATTGTCTGGCCTCAGATTTACAGCACTGAGAGCACATAAATGCATAAAGCTAGAGCTGACACAAAGAGAACTGAGACTCTTGAACTGATATATGGTCATAAAGAAGTTTTATATATAGCTTACAATTAGATTAGATGAATTCACAAGATTGCTCTTAAATCCCATCAAATTAATTTCTTGAAATTCAAGGCTAGTCATTTTCTTGCAGTTCAACACTTCAACTACTACATCTAAAAAATTTAATAAGTTAGCCTTTTGGGAGCACTTGAGCACGCTGCTAACACTTTTACCTCCACAGTGTTGGAGGCAATTTATGCCACAGGAAAGGGTGCATGACTTTATGTTGTGACAAATTTCAGGTTCACATAGAAGGCAATGATTTCCGTGAAAGAAAAGCAGCAAGGAATTCTATATGGGCCAAGTCACCCTTCGAGTGAAGAAGAATTAAGCCCTAATTTTACTATTAATAGTATAAAATTAATTTCTATTACTCTATAATATAACTCCTTTAGGGTTAAGTGATAGTGATATTTATAGTTAGTTGTCAAATTGATTTGTCATTTTGCGGGAGATGCTCTTGGGAATGAGGTCTTCAGTCTTCACTGCAAGTTGGCAGATCTGTACTGATCACTGACTTAAACAAACTTTAAGTTTTTTAGAGAGATTCAATGTTTACTACTACTAGTACGTAGTACTATTTTATCTACCCTCTTCTGAAATTTTAGTAACCTGGAAAATGGTTACTTATATATGTTGGTACTTTTCGCAATTTCTCAAAGTGTTGTGAAGTGATGTTTATATATATAATTATTTCATACATTATCAGTAGAATTCTTAAACTCTATAAATGGTACTAATAAAGTGATACATATCATATATTTTTAAAAAAATTGAAAAAGATATGAGAAAAAATACTAATTAAAATGACAAAATGTAAATGCTAATTATGGGCTAATTTTTAAGATCATATACAAAGAGTTTTTGAGTAATTTCTAAAACTAATAAAGCCCTGTTTTTCAAAACCCTAATAGGATGCATAATTAAGTTTGAATTCCTGTCCTTTAGAATTTAAACATCGTATTGCAATAATAATTCATTCTTATTCACTTCAAGTACTGTTTCTTCCTTCCAAATCTGGGTTTCCTTTGAATTTACCTACCTGAAAAATGAAAAACGGCCAACGTATAATCACCAATGCAATCAGTATCTAGGAGATATATAAATATATATTTATATATCTGAAATATCTGAATGGCAAGCCAAGTAAATAATATATGACTTGGATCAAAGTTATGTACTACATATACTTTTTTGTTTTGTTGCATGATCTATTTGGACTTAAAATATATGGAATGTTTAGGGTAGGGTAGGTTACGGTACATCTTAACTCTATCTTACCCATGAAAGGCCTGTAGGAAGAGAGAGCGTGAAAATATGCTTGAAAAAAGTCCGTATTCTCTTTTTGTAGCTCCCTCCACACTGCAAAAATACCTTAATATCTACTTAATTTCCTTAGTTAAACGTTAAATTCCCAAACAAGGCAATATATATGTTATGGCATGTGTTGCATTTGTGATCACCTACTCACCTGTAACTGTAATGCACGGCGGAATGCTTGCATACTTTGCTAATGCCTCGGCGCATTGTTGTCGGTTCATGTGAAGAACCAAACATCTCTCTATCAGATGCTGAACCTGCAGATTTCCCCATGCAAAACCAGAAAAACAGTAATGGCTAGTGATCATTAATCCTATTTACTTATATCATAAACTTTAACTTGATTTTTGAATTTTAACCAATGATTCTGCTATTTGATAATTTTGGACTAGTAAATGCGAAGTTGGGAGGACTTTCACTTACCATCCTAATGTAGCTATGCGGGTGGCAATGCAGACAAGGGAGAACGTGGTGATGGTTGTGATAGTACATTATTTTTCTCGAACAGAAATGGACGAAACAAAGAGAATACCAAAAGAAGCAAACAACAAAGAATATAGAAAATAGACTAGAGAATGAGAGCCAAAAGAAAGGAAGTGCAGACAAAGCTACAAAGGAAAGGAGAGAGATATCTAGAAAATTTATAGTACTAGTAAAATGGAACAACCAAATTTGTAGAGAGCGACTGTTATCCACAGATATCCGAGTGAAGGGCCAAAAGAGCACAAGAAATCCAAACGATAGATTCACCTCATCTTCAGGAGATAAGAGAAAAGATTGTATGCTTGTTTTGATATAGAAAATGGGTGTGTTTTGATGATGACAATTACTACAGTAAGCAAAGCGTTTTGAAAACCATCAGCTAGCCTTATGACCGATCGCTGCAAACTCTTCCAACGGTGAATGGTCCCCCTAATGAATGCTAAAGGATAAATGTAGGCTTCTTGATTAAGTCAAGAGATGGTCAGTGACAATGGGTTCTATTAGATCTTTGGATTAATGGATTCTGACGCTACGAACCAAGGGGTTTGCTTTGTGTACAAAAAATAAGCCACGTTATGGAGTTAAATTGGTGAGTTGGGGATAGGGGAGACACAAACATTGGGCCAGGGGTCCTTTTAATTTGTTAAAGCACAAGCAAGGAAGAAAGAAGGGGGCCGGCAGCTTGGCACCACAAAGTGGAGGCATTCAATCAATTCTTGGACTATGAGCTCAGGAATTTTGTATGATTAAAAGAGCTTGTTTCAATGAGTACTGTAAAAGAAAGAGAGGTCTGTAAGGTCTCTGAAAACTTTCTGTGGTCCACGTACGACTCATGAGCTTGAATGAGATTTATATATGGAAATTTTGCAAAATACTAGCTACCTGTTTCAATAAATGAAAATTTAAGGGTGCAACAGAACTTGAGAGTCCTTCAACTGCATTATTCAGTCTTATGGATTTGGAGTTGCCCATTTTAACAAAATTTAATCTATTTGAAAATTTTTTGAAACTGAATACTTTAATTTTATATTTGTTAGAAAAATTTTATTATTATTTTTTCAATTTTCCAAATTACTTGTTGTCAATCAAAGATTTTATATATATATATATATATATATATATATATTATAAATGCATCAATGTATTCATTCCTAAATAAAAAACAAAATTCATGCATGGAAATGATAGTGTATTCAACAAGATAGTTTTGTCAATGACATTTTGATTTAATGAATAAAAAATTAAAATCTTAAAAATTTAAATCCAAATTTTCTATGTGAATTTAATTATTTAATTATATTATAATTTATTAATTGATTATTAATTAATTATTCCATAATTTTTTATAAGAATTTAATATTTATAATTAAAAAAAATTCCTAAATGAGAATATATATATATATATATATATATATATATATACATATTTGCTCGAAAACTAGATAATCCCTTCGTAAGGAGGTTTTTTTCTTTTTTTCTTTTTTTTTGCCCTTTGATTGGACAACATGTGAACAGAAAATCTTATCGGCACAAATCGAGAGAAGATTTTATGCAACAATTATTTCATGTATTTAAACCATGCTATGTAATTACATTTTTTTAAAATTTTAATTTTTTATTTATTATTAAAATTTTTAGTGAATCTATTAAAATAAATATTTTATTTTATTAAACATAATGTTTAATAAATAATTGAATTTTTTAAAAGAATATAAATACTAAATACATAACATGGTTTGAATGAAATAATATATGTCATGTGAAGTAATAATTTTATAAAAGTGTTTTTAAAAAGTTACTTATGAATAATAAATAAACAAATAAATAAACATTTAATATTATTGCGCCATAAATCCGCATCAAATTTAGTCAAGATAGGAAAAACATTCTCTTTTAAAGACTAGCAGAGATGGCAACAAAAAAAAAAAAAAAAAAGTTAAACGAACAAAAGGAAGGAACGTGAATTTCAACCATACAGTCAAACAATCAAAGGGGGAAGTCCATGGCCGTTTTTCAGCCATATATTCAAGCCTTTTGTACATGGTGGAATAAATTAGTTCTTCTGCTTCTCTTCTAGTTTGTTTGACGTGAATCTTGTATCGAGAGAAATGAATGTTTCATGTTGAAATAATTTTCTCGTTGATATTAAATCTGATAACACCTACTACCTATTATCTATAAATATATATATATATATATATAAAAGTAAACCCCAGCAAAAAGTCATTTTGCCCTTAATTTTTTTTTCTTACCAATTGGTTGACACCTATTTAAAATGATGAAAATGCCCCTCTTATATTATATGATAAAAATATTCCTCCTATAAATGTCAAATTATTATAATATCCCTTATGTTTTAAATAACAAAATACATTTCTTAAAAATGATAAATTATTAAGATATCCTTATGTCATAATTATAAAAGTGTCTCTTATCTCATAATTGGTTAAAATTATTATAATATATCTTCTATTATAATTATGAAAATATTCTAACTCCTTGATTAAAATTATTATAATATTTTTTTATCATAATTACAAAAGTACTATAGTATTATATATTTATCATAATTATAATATTCTAACTCCTGTACTTGACTCCGTAAACACATCAGTCGAGATGCAACTAACAAAAATAGAGCTGCTCGGATCCAGATTAAAGGTGAAATTCAAACATAAATAGATCTCATCTACCATCAAAACTGATATGACAATTGCAATTATGTCCAGCCCCTTCTAAAATACAGTGCCAAAGAAATGGAAACCTTAATTGATCCACTGATTTCAGTTATAACGTGATCAAGGAAATTCAGAGTACACCAAAAGCAACAAATTCGCATCACATCCGTCAATCATATTCTTTGACTAGACTATTATCTCAGGAAACAGCACTGTTCCAATCGTTTTCAGTATTTCAAATACCAGGTAGGTCCATACATTCAGGCATCCATCGTAGAACTAGAACTAAAACTAAAGAAAATAAGTAGACTAATACTATTTACGCCCTTCCGTTTCTCTGGCTTCGGACCATAGTCCACATTACACAAAACTGAATCACAGACAGGCGCTCACACAACTGCAACGGAGCATGGGGGGAGAAGTTCTACATTTTTCCTCAACTGGTCTCAGACTTCTCCAATGCTGCAAAAAAATAAATTCAGCGTCAGTGAAAGGCAAAACCAAACAAATCCCGCACTAAAATGCACATAAACATGAGCAATAGAGAAAGTCAAAACAGATTGAGGGACGGGAAGGGAGACAGATTACTATTGTAGTTCAGAAGCTTCTCAATGAGGTCAACATGAGTCATAAGCATTCTCCTACAGCAATAACGAACCAAGCCCAAAGCATCAAGAGCATCTCTGCATGCCAAACAAGTTACAATTTATTCTCTGCAATACCGTTCTCAGTGTTGAAGCTTAGCTGACTACCATTAATGAAGACTATGATTCATAAATCAGCAATAAATTTGGTTATGATTCACATCAACTTCCAACATAATATTATCAAATACAAGCTTGATTGCTTAGATACATTTCCTTGCGTCCATATGGGTGCATGGACACTTGCACATTTCCATAGTTTCATAACAATAGCCAACATTGATAATTTTGCATTTGGAGGGAACACGACAAGCGTGCAAAACATGTTTTTTAAACCGGAAAACTCCATAAGTAGTCCCTCAACTTAACTTTGGGAAGATAAAACTTGTAAGAACTCTTGAAGTTTCAATGTTTACCCTTAGACCTTAAATTTTCAATAATGAGAGCTTACCATTTACTGATGTTCAATTCAGCAAATGGCGGTAGTTCAAATAAGTCAATGGGCACGAATAACTTCACGTGATTGTGGAATGAATGACATCAGATTTCAAAAGGTTGCAAATAACTAGCTAAAATCAATAAAAAGAGAAGCAATTAGGATCTAATTTACATTTTGCCAAAGCATTTCTTGATTTACCAATATATCTCTCCACCTCCTCTCTAAACAATCAAGCAACCTAGTTTCCCCTGTACTTCCCGCCAAATTCATCTGATTCCCTACCATATCCTCGCCAGAGTTTTCCCACAGAGTCAATTTTCCAAGGAATATTAGCACCTCTTTTTTATAACTACACTCTTGCTTCACAAAGTTCTTCTGGGTCACACAAATCACCAAGTCATCCAAATTAGCCAAAGAAAAAAAAAAGGAAAAGGAAAAGAAAACCCAAATAACTGAAAGTCTATAACTTAGACTGTGGACATTAATTTGTCCATAAATACAAAATATGAAATAATATTACAAAATATGAAATATAAAAAAATATTAAGAATAATACAAAATAAAAAATATATATAAAACAAAAATACAAAAAAAAAAAATCGAGGATGACAGTGGTGCCATCCCCGGCACCACTGCCACCATACCTCACCATGCCCTACCTCCTATCACCTAACGTTACCACTGTTAGATATGGCCAAAAAAAAATAAAAGAGGCATGGGGCTCGTACTTACACCCCATGCCGAGCCCAAGCCCTTTCCCCCAAACACGCATGGCTGGAGCTCTATAAATAGAGCTCTTAGCAAAGCCAAAAGACAGAGAGAAACGGAGGGAAGGAGACGCTGCCAAAAGGCCAAAAAAAGAAAATAAAAAAAAATCAAACAGTCCTCCTCGTAGGGAGGAACCCAACGTCGAGCTTCCTACACGAAGAAAAAAAGGGTCAGTTTCATAAAAAACAAAAATTAGAATACAAAAAAAAAGTCTCAACGAAACTTTAAAAGCAGATCTAGGGAAGTGAAGACTCTTTTTAGTGAAAAAGACCTCGAATCTGAACTCAGGAGGTCGAGAGGAACATTTTGGTGTTTTTTGAAAATTTTTTGACTACTGACGACGGCAACCGATGATCGACGAACGACAGCGACTGCGGCCAGTCGGCACGACGTTCGGCTGAAGAAGAAAGGAAAGAAAAAAAACAGTCATTTTTTTTAGAAGAAAGGAAAAATGATCGAAAAAAAATTTGAATCTTTTAT